TATTGTACATATACACAATTAGTGTTAAATCTTTCCCTAATTTAGTATGTCCCCAATTTTTGACATAAAAAAGCTGAACTATATATCACTGAGCATGTATCTTTGTCCTCATGATTACCTACTTTAAGTGGAATTACTGAGTCAAAAGGCACTGACTTTTTGTTACTGAGATACAGTTCGCATACCGTAAAATTCACCCTTTTAAATTGTCTAATTCAATGGTTTTTAATATATTCAGAGTTGTGCAACTATCACCATTATCTAATTTAGAACATTTTCATTATCCCAAAAGGAAACCCACCGTTAGGAATCATTCCCCATTTTCCCCCAGTCCCTGAAAAGATACTTTTATTTTTTAAAAGCGGGGGGCAGAGTGAGGGAGAATCCCAAGCAGGCTCCACACCCAGCACGGAGCCCAACATAGGGCTCGATTTCACAACCCTCAGATCATGACCAGAACCGAAATCAAGAGTTGGTTGCTTAACTGACTGAGCCACGCAGGCACCCCAAGATACTAACTTTTTAAGTGTCTTAATACATGTTGCCGAATTACTTTCCAGAAAGATTGTCCAGTTTATGTTGCTAACAACCATATGCCAGTTTTTACATATTTTCCCCAGAATTAAATACTACCATTTAAAAAAACCTAATAGGGACATCCGGGTGGCTCAGTCAGTTAAACATTTGCCTTCGGCTCAGGTCATGATCTCAGGGTCCCGGATCTCTCTCTCCCTCACTCTCTAACAATAAATAAATCTAAAAAAAATTTTTAAATAAAAAAATAAAAAAAACCCTAATAAGCAGAAATTAGTAACTCATTGCCATTTACATTAAAATTTTTTATTACTAATGAGAGTGAAATGTTATATATCCATCAATTCATTATTTTCTGCTTTTTTCCCCCTGTCCTTTTGTAAACTTTCCATCCCCTTTATTAGGGGTTAAAATCCAATTATCAGTCTAAATAAAACATTCCTTGATAAACCTAGTTTCTAGAAAAATCATGAGAAACTCTAAAACTTAACAACTTTTTTGAGGTTAACTATACCATGGATCCTCATTATTAGTACAGGTAAATTAGAGTTTGCTAATAATCATAAAGTTTATGCTATAATCATAAACAAAATAAAGAGCATACGTCTATCTTCAAAGAAGATACTATTTCTGGGTTCCTTTGTTATTACAGAGTAAGCTTGTCTCACTGGCACTTCAGAACAAAGCCTTCCATCCTATAGGGACAAAAAGCCCATTATTGTACAGCACTTACGGCCATCTGGTTAATGAGCCAGTCACTGGTAAATGAGAATGAAAAAAATTAACCCAACCCACATAATGTAGTGATCGTTGTTGCTTACACAAAACCAGAAATGAAGCCAGCTAGCTGCTAAACACCTACTTTATGTTAATGGACAGAAAGCACCCAACCTTATAATTAGGATAGATAAAAACTGATGGCAAAAGGGAGACAAAAAAAAGTAAGCCAAGGCATCCTTGGGAGTCTCCCTGGCTACCCAAAGCAACAAGAACCTTCCAGAGACTAGCATTAGAAACATGTGCTCAATACATTGCATCTGCAATTTGATGTGTAAATTTTTCTCACAGAACAAACGTCTCTACTTAAATGGGCCCTGCCTTCCATTTCCTGTTCCTCACTATTGTTCTTCACTCACGTTCTAACCTTTTAAATCAGAATTGCTGTACCGTTAGCCTCTTCTCAGTCATTTTTTTATTTGGGGCTTTTGTGGGGAGAGGGAACATATTTTTTTTTTAATTTTATTTATTTATTTGACAGAGAGATAGAGAGAGAGCACAAGTAGGCAGAGAGGCAGGCAGAGGGAGAGGGGGAAGCAGACTCTCCACTGAGCAGGGAGCCCGACGCGGGACCCTGGGATCATGACCTGAGCTGAAAGCAGCTGCTTAACCGACTGAGACACGAAGGCGCCCCACATCTGTATTTTTTAATCATGGAAACAATAGATTCCACAATATCCCCTAGAATATAGGATGGTTAATTCAGACAAGTGACTGTCAAAGCAGATCTCAACAGGGAATCAGCTTGTGATTGCTCTAAAGTAATATCCCTAATAAGACTGTCTAGAATCCTAGAATGTTAAAAACTGGAAAGGAGCTCCAGAGTTATCTAACCCTACTTGAATCATGCGTTGCTCTTCATAGAAGGGGGAGGGCTTAGAACGCACACACATCTCCAGAGCTCCTTGGTGCAGCACCCCTGATCTGCTAGGTCGGAGTTAAACCAGCAGGTTACTCCAACCTGTTCTTTTCTGAACCTGTGAGGATACACTTGCTGACTCAGATATTCTTCCCCCAAATCACTCATTTACAGGTGGTGTTGAGGCTAATGAAAACACAAGCTACTGGAAAGGAAGGGCTGACATTTCTGTTATCATCCTAGAGATAATAACGTATGACTAGAAGCAATACAGACTGGAAGATTTCTGACATAAGAGCTATAACTGCTCTGGAACCTGAAGGAAAACAAAACAAAACAAAAAAGCTCTGAAATACTACAGCAAGGCTATACATCTCTCTCTTTTGCGTTGTTGTTGTTTTTGTTTTGTTTATTAAGATGTAAGACGGCACGTTCACAGGCACAGAAAAACCTTGACTGAGAATACGTATTATTGAAAGTTAAGAACTACCTACCTGAACTCTGGTGATTTTTTTGTACTCCTATTCAACCTTCTAATACCTCAAAATGTATAAAACATCTCAGTTAATGATGTATCATTATTTAAAACAAATAAGGAAAAAAAGCCAATGATCCTCACGCAATTTCTAAATAATTATAATGTCCGAGAACTAAACACTCTTCGACATTCCTAACGGAAATGTCAATACACATCTATAACATGATGCTACTAGAATGTTAAGTCTAGTCTTCATTTTAAACCTCAAACTGCCTCCCAAGGAAGCTCATTTCCTAAAACAACAATCCTGTCACCTGCCATTCCAAACTACATTAGCTGTCACTCTGTAGCCTTCATGGGTATGAGTCCTCTCTCCATAGAGTACAAGAGTCTCAAGGGTCACACCTTCCTTTTGCTGTAGCTCTTCACCTACTTCAAGAGGGATGGGAATGTAACAACCATATTCTGGATACACAGTAGGCAAGCTACCAGGAAATGCCAGCGATAAAGACCAATCACAAGGCTAAAGCCTTGTGAGACCAAGAGTAAGAAGAGGGGAGCTGAGTGAGATTCTAAACATAGCATATTAGTAAACTTCAGCATACACTGTTGAGGGCCAGCAAATTAAAGCTAACTGCAACATTTAAAGATGTGCCTCAGTAGGAGCAGCTTATGTTCAGACCTCAAATCCACATTCTGCTTCAAAAGTCTCTCAGGCAAGAGGCATATGGAAAGTCCCCTCAGAAATAACATACATGCTACTGATTCATTTGTATTAACACACCCTTGGTTTCATTATTCATTTAAATCCTGATGAAGTTTTTATATATCAGTCACTCACACTTTGATCCAAACTGGTTTATTGAGGACCAGTTTTTTTTCCCTAGGAGTACAATCTCAATGTAGGTAAAAAAGAAGTTTTCACTGGACGGTTTGGGGTTAGGGGTTGTGATGGGGGAGGTGGGAAAGGAAGAGAGGATCATTTTGGAAAACGTTCTTCATTGAGGTGCTACAGTGAAAGGTTTCTGACAGAGAGGAACAGGAAAGGAAGTAGGTCTAGAGATCAAAGAAGCACTACCAAAAATAAATGAAGAATGCTGCTGGAAAACTTTATCACCAACTTTGCTGAAGTCTCTGGAAGCAACTAATGCCAGAGACTTCTCCGACACCTTTAACCTGAGTCTCCTTCAAATTTCAAGAAGTAACAGCTGAACACTGTATCTGTCAATGAATTTGAAACTGTTGTGCTCCAGTTCACCAAAAATCTTTCAGACAAAAGATAATAAATCTGTTGGTTTTAAAACCAAGAATTTTAGGAGAAAAAGTATTTTTAGCAAAAACAAATTTTCTTTGGAAATACATGTTTTGTTCCATTTCAGACTCATCCAGAATAGGTTTATTTCATTCAGCTGTCGACACCCCCCCCAATACTTCAGTTCCCTTGGAATTCAGTGGATAATCCTTTCCTAGTTATGAATAATTCCAAAGTATGCTCAGCAGATCGTATGAAGACCTATGTCCACCTTAGGTCATGACAACTGAGAAGCAGCAGTTCCATTTCACAAAACATGACACAGACTCTTAAAGCATATTTATAGCCTCACTTTTCCAGCTGAGAAAAACTCACACACGCTTTTAGGCATCCTCAATTTCCCTGCCTAAAAACCGTGCCTAAGGATGAATCTCTAATTCCTTGGAACAGGGAGGAGTTGCAATCACAGGTGGCTTTGAAACGGGTGAAATCTCACTATCACTATTTCATAACTGTTCTTCAAAAGCTTGTAATTTTCTTTCAAGTTGCAGCTTTGGAGGCTCTCATTGACGCTCAGTCTTCACAAACTTCCTTGAGCAGAAGAAAGGCTATCTAACCTGCTAATTCAGATCACTCAAGCTTGTTTTATCGCACCTAAGGATACCTTTGCAACATCTCAAGCCTCATGCATCTACCCCAATAACAACTACTAAAATCAGAGCTCGAGGGGATGGTCTTCAAATCACATTTGAGCAAACAAGAGACGGGAAGTGATGGCCTTAAGTGACACAGCCTTCCCTAGCCAAAATGAGGCGCCCTCGCACACTGCGAGCGGCTCAAGATGTTACCAGAAGCTCCTGCAGTCTGTACGGGGTGAGGCTGCGGGAGCAGGTAAAGCAGGGACGATAACTGGAGGGCCCTGGGAGAACTGCGGTGTCAAAGCCTGCAGGCGGGATGGAGTGGAAGGAGGTGAGGCAAAATTAGGCAGATACTGTAAGGAGCCAACGCAGCGAAGAAAACAGGGGAGGCGAGAGGCAGAGCCCTAGAAAAACCTGACGAATTCGCGCCTGGGAGGGTTTCCGAGGGTCCAGTTCTCTCACCAGAAAGCCGCGTTCAGCCCCAGGCACCACAGGGCGCTCCTGGCTGGCCGCTCCCACACCAGGGCTGCCTGCACCCGGCTCAGCAGAGGCTCGTAAGGCCCCAGCACCTCCACCAGGGCCCGCTGCGCCGCCTCAACCTGCTGGTCTCGCTCCCAAGAGCCTGACATAGCGCGGCGGCCCCTAAGCGTCGGCCCCGAAGCTGGGCCTGGGGCCGCGGCCACCCCCTCTACCTCCGCCATCTCCCCCCCAGCAGCCACAACATCCGGGGCCGCGGCCCGACGGTCACAATAAACACCAAGTGCGCAGACGCGCGATTCGGCGGGGGAGGCCGCGTCCCTCCACAGTGCGCCTGCGCGCAGGCTCTAGCTCCCGGCCACCGAGAGGAAAAAACGCTACGTCAAAGTACGTCCCCGCGCCCAGGCGCAGTTTCCCAACCCGGAGCTGCGCACGCGCAGTCTCCTTGATCGAAGCCAAATGTGAATAAGGACCGGCCAACGCCAGAACTCAGGTCTCATTGGAGCGGAGAAAGTTCGTGGGAGGAGCAGGGTGTTTGGCGCCTGCGTAGTGCGGCTAGCGCCTAGCGAGCGGCGGCTTGGCTGGCGGGAGCGGCTGCAACGCTGGTGCCTGAGGAGCGATGCCGAGGGAAATCATCACGCTACAGTTGGGCCAGTGCGGCAATCAGAGTGAGCGAACCTCCGGCCCCTCCACTAGTCAGGTTCCTTAGATTCCATGGGATCTCGCTGTGTGATCTTGGACTCCATCTGCCCTGCCCAGAATCGTAGTTTTCCAAAGGCGGGACATGCCTGACCCAGTGTCCAGTTGCCCAACCCTGAGGGGCCCTCCCCTCCCGGTCGCCGGCATACAGCCCTTTCCTCCTACATGGGAGACTCCCTAGGCTTGACTTCCTATCTTCGGACCCAGGCACTCAGCCCCTTAGCTCCTAGTTGGCATCTGCCCAGACCCAGATATCCTCTTTCTCCCCCGTCCGCCCCCCCTCCCCCAGTTGGGTTCGAGTTCTGGAAACAGCTGTGCGCCGAGCATGGTATCAGCCCCGAGGGCATCGTGGAGGAGTTCGCCACCGAGGGCACTGACCGCAAGGACGTCTTTTTCTACCAGGTGCCCCCAGCGACTTGGCCAGGGGGTCTGAGGGAAGGGCAGAGGCCTGGTACCGGGAAACCCGCTGGGCAGAAGAGCCAGGGCGGCTGGCTTGAGGAGGGGCGGGCAGACAGGAGCCAGAGCTGGGAGGATGGAGGACTGGGCCTTAGCTGATCGGGCCGCCTTGCTGGATGCCCCTTGACAGGCAGACGATGAGCACTACATCCCCAGGGCGGTGCTGCTGGACCTGGAGCCCCGGGTGATCCACTCCATCCTCAACTCCCCCTATGCTAAGCTCTACAACCCAGAGAACATCTACCTGTCGGAGCATGGCGGAGGGGCTGGCAACAACTGGGCCAGTGGATTCTCGCAGGTCATTTGCTGTTTCCTGGCAGGACCCACAACTCCCTTCCTTTGTGAGGACAGGGTGTAGGACTTGCCAGAGAGAGAAGAAACCAGATCAAGGATGTATAAGTAGTAGAGAGAGAGAGAGAGATGGCTGAGGAGAGCTCTTTTTTCTAAGTCAACTAGGTAATATGGTTAATACTGCACTTGCTAGTGTTGTGTGCCAGGCTGTACTAAGTGCTTTACATATAACTTATTTAAACCTAACAACCATAGAGGTAGATATTATAGGTTCATGGTCTCTTAACTGCTTTTTCAGATTCCAAAAAGCTCTGAAACCAAAAGATGATTTATAACTTACTTAGTAGCAAAACCAAATCTTGGGTGCCTGGCTGGCTCACTCAGTAGAGCATATGACTCTTGATCTTGGGGGTTGTGAGCTCGAGCCCCATGTTGGGTGTAGAGATTATTTAAAAATAAAATCTTTAAAAAAAACACACACAAATCTCAGTGGAGACAGGCTATTTTAGTTTTTATCCAACTTGTCATTACTCATATGTTTCATTGCAGAAATAATAATATAATTGATTAGTATACAGGCATTTTACTTAACATACATCATATGTACCATAGTACCTTACTAGAACGGGAAATATTTGAATTCCAAAACATACCTGGCCCCAAGAATTTTAAATAAGGAACTGACGAGTTGTATTATTACCTTCATTATATAGATGAGGAAACAGTAATCTGCCCAGAGTCACTTGGTTAAATAAAACGAGAGCTAATACCTGACCCCAGGGAGTGTGACTGTAGTCTGCTCATACCCACTGTGTTTTACTGCCTCTCAATGCAGATAGAAAGTAGGGCCACTGTGCTCCAAAAAAGGACTTTTATGTTCTATATGGAGCATCCATGGTGGCTATTCTGAAATCAAGAGTCCTTGCCCCATGGTCCTGTCCCACGCTGACATTCCCCATGTCTGTACAGGGAGAGAAGATCCATGAGGACATTTTTGACATCATAGACCGGGAGGCAGATGGCAGTGACAGTCTAGAGGTGAGTGTCAGGAATGCTGGTGGGAGCTGTCATAGGAGACTTGACAACACCCTTTAGAAGCCACCTGTTAGGTATAAGACCTACCCATGTGCCCTTTGCACTGGACAAGCCACTGGGCTTTGCTGGACACAAGGCAGATTCTCCTAAGCTGTATGTGTGGGGGAGGGAAGTGGAGGAGAGGGCTTGGGAAAATAGGAGTCCAAGAAGTTGTAGGTTGGGTCCAGTTTGCAGTGCAATACCTAGACACTGACTGCCCCTTCCCCATGCAGGGCTTTGTGCTGTGTCACTCCATCGCTGGGGGGACAGGCTCTGGCCTGGGTTCCTACCTCTTAGAACGGCTGAATGACAGGTAAGTCTGTGTTTCATGAGGCTGGAAGACTTGGTTTCCCAAGGAACTGGGAGGCCTTCCAGATACGCCTTCCTATTGCTGGAGCAGTGAAAGAGCCCTTCTGTTCGCTCCTATAGTTAGGAAAGGGAAGATGCAATAACCAAGAACCTGATCACACTCTGGAGAGTTGGATCCAGTGCCTAGAATCTAGGCCCTAGATGAAGAGATGAAGGTTCAGAGAATATGGCTGGTTTAGAGTTAGAACCCTAGGTCCTAAGATGTGTCTCTGCCATTCTTCCTTTGGGCTTTCAGACTTCCAAAAGTCAAGTCTCCCTTCTCTACTGTTTCTGTGTCCCACCCCAATTTCCCCTTCTAGATTCAGTTGCTTTCTGACTATCGTGAGCCCTGTGTTTACCAAGCCTCCAGTCTCTTACCCTGACCCTCTTCTCTCAACCCCATCAGGTACCCCAAGAAACTGGTGCAGACGTACTCAGTGTTTCCCAACCAGGACGAGATGAGCGATGTGGTGGTCCAGCCCTACAACTCCCTGCTCACACTCAAGAGGCTGACCCAGAACGCAGACTGTGTGGTGCGTCCTGGATTCTGCCATTCTCCACTCGAGCACCTCCGGTCTTCTTTCATCATCTTCCTACACTTAAAAAGTCCATTTTGAGGGCACCTGGGTGGCTCAGTCATTAAGCGTCTGCCTTCGGCTCAGGTCATGGTCCCAGGGTCCTGGGATCGAGCCCCGCATCGGGCTCCCTGCTCAGCCAGCAG